ACACAATCCCCCCGCACCCCTCCCACCACCTCAAGTACATTCCATTATGCAACCTTAATTGTGGACTCTTGTGATAACCGTAATACCCTATCGTACATCGCTTTTAAATTATTCACTCCCTCATCTGTTTCAGTGGACTTGCTTACTCTTACACAAAGAATTTTGGCATAGGAGAAGGAAAACAATGGTCACACTTGTCTTTATTGCCCACTAATTGTGTAACCTTGGACAAATATTTAAAAAGAAAATACTTACAAGTGGTAAGTATTTTTGAAAGTACTTATAAGTGATAAAGTACCATAATATATGTTGTTCTTTTTATAACCAGTCACTCATCATTTCAAAAATCCTTATTCAGTACTTATTAAGTTCCAAGCATAGTTGTCACTGAAGATACAGCAGTAAATAAGATCACACAACATAAACTTGAAAATAATTCTAACACAATAACATTCCAGTGAATATCCATTTTTATTTCATTGAATTGTGTCAATCTGATACTAAGGAGTCAATATGATGCCAATGTTGTCAGGTGTTTAAAAACACTTGCACATAATCTGATTATGTCACTCATCTATTAAAATATATTTAACATCCTCAATGTGTCAAGCTCTGTGTTAGGTGTTATAAACAACAATAAACCACAAAGAACCACCTGTAGACCTTACAGTCTAATAAAGAAGACTAATAATTAATTAGGTAGTGGCATTGGGAATGTGTAATAGAGGGAGCTAAAGTTATTATTATTCTAGAAAATACATAGGAATAAATGACATTCAAGACCTAAAGGAGAACTATGAAAATACAGACATTGGCTCTCTGAGGCATAACTATTTGCCTCCCTCTGACTAAAACAAGGGAGAAGAAAAGCAAAGATATATTAAAAAAATTAGTCCAGATTACTAATATACCACTCCAACCTGTACTTTCACATCTTTGAGACAAGAAAACGTTGATGATGCCTGGTTACTACCACTGACCAACCTAAAAAGCATCCTGGCAGAAGATCTTGGATAGAGTAGGGGGAAATGTGGAACATAATTTAAAAACATAAAGGTTAGTCTCAGTGGTCTGTTAGTCCCAGAGACTGCTGGAACCTCCACAACCATGGTCTTTAGTCAGACTTTGAACTTGGAACCCCAGTTCCCCCCAGTGACTCAACTTTCAGTCAAACTATAGACAGCCCTCTAAGGTGATCAATAACACCAGGGAGGTACTAGTTTCTTAGCATAATCCACCGTGTAAAGCTAAAAAAACCCCATACAGCCAAGGATGAAATCCTGAAGACAGAAAGACACAGTATAGAAAGATTAATAGAAATGAGAAATACAGAATACAGGGAGAAAGTGGGGGAAATGTAATTACATTAAGGGTCTTGTAATAAACATTCTAAAACAAAATGAGTAGCAATGATTGAATGAAAACCCAACTTTTTTCACTCAAATATCAAAAAAAGAAAAAATAATTAAAAAGAAAGAAAATATGAACATTAATGTGAGATCCTGGTGGCCCTAATGCTAAGAAGTTGCACTGCAAACCAAAGGCACTTGGTTCGAATCCACCAGCTACTCCATGGGAGAAGGATGAGCAACTTCCTCCCATACAATTTACTGCCTCTGAAAATTCCCTGGAGGGTCAGCTCTGTGTTGGTTCTAACTCAATGGCACACAACAACAATAACAAAAATGGGTGGAGAGAGCAATTCATATATAAAACAAGAAACATGTAATGGCCCAAAAAGTGGTTAGCAACATGTTTACTACCTCCATTACATGTCAACTCCACCTGAAAAGCAGTTTTGCTGAGAATTTAAAAAGGGTTGGGGGTAAGACAGAAAAACTGGATAGATTATGTATATTGCATTGAGACAGATGAGGGAGAAAACAGTTTAAAAGTGGTATATGATAAGGTATTATGATTATCACAG